TTGTTTATTGTATTATTATATGCTCTGATAGTAAACTATGGCACTGCAATGATGATTTTAATTGACCAGACATTAAAACATTGGCTTGATGGATCTTAGAACAGTGCTTCATGTTTGTTTTTTGTATCAAACCCTGAAGTGTTTTCCTTTTTAATTAAACCCTAAAAAGTCACTGGTGACATGGCCTACTCTTTACACTTCCTGTTGATTCAATACCACAATAGCTAACCTAGTTTATTCCAATAAATTTTTGTAGACAGAGATTGTTTTTTATGCTTTTGTGAAACTTTAACACCACTAATAACTAAATGTCATGCTTAATATCTTTCTTACGGCATCTTTCAAAATCCATGTCTTCAGCTGCCACATTAGAGGTCAAATGGAGCACTGTAAAAAGCATGAAAAAAATATTTATATAATGTACATGTGAACAGTAGTTTAGAGATTTTTTCCAGCAGGACACTGAAAATAACTGGTCAAGTACCTCTTCCATCCACCCAAGATGTTTATGGAATATGTCACAGGATACAAGTTGCAACAGATTCCAGCTTACACAGATTGGCAGTTACAGTACTATTCTCAAAGTACAAGTACAAGAAGGACTGTGTTGACATAGTCACAAGAAAGTATTTAAAAAGTGCTTTTCAAATCTTGGTTCCATATATGGAATGCAAATACTGTACAGGTAAGACACAAGTTAACTTTCATGAAGTTTAAGTTTCTGTCAAACATTGGTTTCTATCTGTTTTCCATTCTCACAAGAGTCTGTCTGTTCCATGCGTTCACAGTCAACACTGACTTCACTGATGTCCATACTACAATCTGACTCATTATCTGATTGGTCCATATGCTCAAGCCTGGTTTCTCCCTGTGGTACTCTGCTCCCATGTGGGGATATTAGGAAATGTCCTTCTGAATTCAGCATTCCAGCCTCTCCTCCACACACAACTTTTTCTTTGGCCTGCCGGATACAGTTAAGCCACTGTTGTTTGTTAAAGGAGTCATTGGCTTGTAGTGAGTGGGACTGGCTTTGAGATCCATTTTTGAAGCTGACTCTGAAGAAGTTTTTGACTGAAAAAAAATAAGAATGGTCAGTATGTGGATTGCTTTGGGTTTGTGCATTTTATAAGGTAAGATGTTAAAATCATAAGAAGCTCTGCAGAATCTTTAGCTTGCTAGTCTGCCTCTCCAGGGCTATGATAAGATTTCCCAGAGATGTGAGAGGAGTGTAATCTCTGAGGGTGGTTAAACAAGTTACAATATTTCTGTGATCGGGCCCTTGAAAGCGCTCTACAGCCATGCTGTGACACATATGCACAGCTGCAGAGTGCTTTTAAAGAGCCTGACCTGGCTCTCCCCAGCACCCAATCTGGGGTACCTGCTGCTGCTCGCTTCCACCTCTCTATTTTGCCTGGCCTGAGCTGGAGGGTGGAAGGGGTGGATTGGAGCCCCCTGCCTTGCAGGTCCATCCTGGCTCCCTCCAGTACCCCAACTCAGGCCAGGCAAAGCCCAGCTGGCATCTCAGTGTTGCTTGCTTACTGCTCCTTCCCAGCTGACAGCCCTAGAGCTGGGGGGGGGCGGGGCAGAGCTCAGGAAAGGGACAGTTAAGCAGCCTCCTTGGAGCACCACCGCAGGGGCTGCCAGGAGGCAGTGGCAATGTGTAAGGGGTGCACATGCACCCCCTTAGAGCACTGGTGCACCCCGTGACAGGCAGTGCTTCCTGCTTAGGCAACAGAAAGGGGGGGCTGGTAGGAGCATCACTGCCCCCCACCCCCCGGGAGCACCGGCCACCAGATGAAGCGCCACTGGTACTTGCAGGAACACCACTCGTGCTTCCCAGTTGATGAGATTGTCTGTGGGGCGATCCACCTCAGTCACTGAGATTGACCATGGGGGACCCCCCTGGTCGCTGAGTGGCCACTGGGGGGGGACACATGCCCCCCTGACTCAGGTGGCACCAGTCACCCATGCCAGGAGGGCCAGTGCAGGCAGGCTTTATCTTTTCCAACCCAACAAGCAAACACCTGTTTGGTCGGGGGGGCACTAACTCATGGCGCCAGCAGGGCCCCAAGGCAGGGCAGCAGGAGTACAGAACCCAGGCTGGCAGGGGCTTCATAGATACCCCACATATCCACACACACATCCACATGGTCCTACACCCCCAACCCCATACTCACCCACACCCCCATACACCTCTCCCCAATATACAAGAGTAAGACTTCATTTTAAGCTATTATGCAATCACCTCTATGTACACTATGCAAACCCATGTAAATCAGGAGAAAAATATTTTTTGAAATCAAATAAAAGTATGTTGTATTAGATGTTTGATTTTTAGACTATAATTTGGGTTTTTTCTGGTTCCAAGATGGCAACCCCCTTGCCAAAAGGAGTACTTCCAGGGTCAAGGGGAAAGACTTCTGGTGGCAAAGGTGAGGGGTCAGGGGATAGGACTTCCAGTCCCAAGATGGTGACCAAGGGGCAGGGTACCTGTAAAGGGGTGGGGCACGCATGTGGCCCTCAATAGCTTGCCAAAACTCGTTAAGCAGCCTTCCAGCTGAAATAATTGCCCACCCCTGTTCTAATACCTTCCAACTGGTAGAGCTGTTTTGTTTATTAGAGTTAACAACAGAGCATGGCCAGTAATGTTCTAACACTTAAAGCTTTCATGCATAAAACTAAGCACAAAAGCTTCAACTCGTTGATTTGTAAGCCAGTTTATCTTTTCCACCTTGGAATGTTAAGCAGCTCAGTAGGCTACTTCGATCCTTGGGGAACCTCTCTGGCCTCACATGGCTCATTGTCCTGAAGAGTTCTAAGATTTCACTGTTGCTTTCTACAGACTGACCCCAGAATACTGTCTTCCATGTAAGATAAACCCCCCCTCCCTTGCAACCTACAGCATAAATCAATGCAATATCAAACAAAACCTTCAAAAATACTCTCTCAGAGTAGCTACCTAAGGTTAAAGGGAGATTTCTAATGGAAATTTTGTTGCAACTGATTCTGCAAATGCTTATAGCATGCTTAATTAGAAGCACATGAATAATCCTATTGACTTCAACAGGACTACTCGCAGACTTAAAATTGACCACACACAGAAGTATCTGCAGGGTCACAGCCTTAAGGATTAACAACCAACCTCTCCATTACAGATGAATAATCATAATAGATTAAAACTTGTAAGATTTTTGAATAGGCTATAGTGTTTACAAAAGTGCTCAATAAATTCCTAAGAAATGATTTTTTGTTGGTAGTAATTTACAACCTCTTCCATTTCTTACTGTTGTATAAAGAAGAGAATCCCATTATTTCTGTTGCAGAGTCAATTAACTCTAAATTGACATTTAGAATATACAAGAGAGAAGCTGTCTCACAGTACAAGTTTGAAATACAGGTTAAGTTTTGGATCTAAATAAGCTATTAGGTAGTGCTGCTGTAAATGGTTGGGGATTTCAAAACTTCATCTCCTCCCTACAAGTAAATGACAAAATATTCAAATCGAAGTTCATACTTCTCTCATTGTGGCTGAATGCTCCACGTATGGATCCACCTAATCGCACTTCTCCATCCTGCAAATCTTCCAGCAAAAGATCCTTTACCGGGATGGGTTGCCGATATAGCTGGTAGCAGAGTTGTTCATTATGGGTAATAGCTCGGGTAATTACCAGCACTTCTTGGAACAGGAAGACATGCAGTTTCTATCAGAAAAGAGTAAAAGAAAAATGAATGCATTATTTCTTTTTAACAAGCTATTGAACAAAGTTCACTTCAGCTGTAACATACCATACCATTTGTTTTTTAAACAATATAAATAATTAGATGTTTAAATAAAAACCTGCCAACAGCATTTGGAGTCTCTTCCCTCCATTACGTTACTTGAGGTAGCCTAATTCACACCCTCAAGTAATGTTATATACACAAAGGAGATCACCCTGATACACAATATTTTAAACCCTGCATTTGCAAGACTGAGATCTTAGCCCACATAGAAATGAATGTCATGTTTGAGGTTTCACAGCCTTCAACTGCTACAGCTTCTCTTTCACAATAAATCAGAGTAGCTTGTTTCAAGCATTTTATTTCTCTCTCTACTTTTTAACTCTCTATGCTGCTCCTCAAGTCCCTTTGTAAAGAAGCTACAGAGAAATGATTCTATTTTATCCAAATACAGTAATATAATCACAGAACAATCCTAGGCATTCTGTTTCCAATTTATGAACTCCTCAGAAAAATCAGGTCTTTGAAGCTCAGAATTTGATACTTTTGTTAATTCACAAGCCATCTCTAATAGGCTTTAAGTTTGTGCTTCTTATCTTTTTTGTGATCTCTACTCCCCAGTTTTTCTAATAAGATTACTAACAGGAAGATCCTTTAATATTTCAGTTTTAAATCACTGCAAGTTTTACTGGAATCCTTAATTTCTCCTCCTTCTTCATTAAAGAGCCAACACAAGAATTACCTTTTAAACATGGCCAACACTTTCTTTCTTAAATTGCCGTGTGTCTAATTCTCAGTCACAGCTTACATATTACCATTAAAGATTAAAACTATTTTTAACTCAAAATAACAGCAAAAGTTGGAATGTTAAGAAACAGTTGGATCCTATTTTGGCACTAATTTCAGGAGCACATGCATGAAGTTCCATAAAACTTGATATATATTTGCTAGACCAATAAAATTCATGCACATTTTGTGTGTTAGATATCTTTAGAATCTAACACCCACATCTTTATAATCTATAGAAAATGTATCTGCAATTTTTTCTTCTTTTACAGAAAACCACTTATCCCCAGCCATTCAAGTGTCAATGCTCCCACAACCTTCCTGGCTCAGAACACTCAAATATTTCCCATCCCATGATTACCATTTTATCCTTCCATCTCCAAGGCCTCCACTGTAGAAGATACAGAAGTGCATTTCCCAAGAGCTTAAATACAGTATGACAGCATGGAACCCCTTCCTAAAGGCTCAATGGAGTATAAAAACCTCACACCAAAGGACCCTGTACACAATACTACTACCAGCAATCTTTTTTCTTATTCACATTTGAACAACCATGGAACCTCTCTTCCCACATGGTTACAGTAAAGCTTCAAAAACAATATTTATGACAAAAAAGTCACTTCTTACCGCTCCCCTGTTGTTCTTCAGTTCACCGTGACAGCATACAACACGTGAATTATCAATCAATGAATCCCTCTGGCCCTCTTCAAGATAAAGAAGCCTCTCTTTGTAATACTGGCACTCAGATTCACCTGTCTTTATATTGATTTCTGCCACTATACCCTGAATGATATTTATCTATGGAAGAAAAAAAGCAAAGGAATGAAAACACATGAACTTTCATTTGGCATGCCAAGATTCAGACCTGTCTCAGAATCTTTGCTAATTAGGTGATAAGAGAAAAACATTTTTTAATTTATAACCTATTCCTTATAGGTGAATTATGTGTTTGGAAGGTTGCAAGTTTATGGTATGACTGTAATAGCCAGAATAGGGCAGACTACAAGTTTGGCTTGCCTCTTGGTATTAAGCCTAACTACACTTTCTTGTTTCTTGGTATTAAGCTTCACTATCAGTAGGTATCTCACAGGGGAACTACAATTTTCACAGGTAGATCACAGCGCAAAGTTCTAATTCTGCGGTAATTCTGTGGCGGCCTCACCCCTCAAGGCTGATTGATAAACAGGCCCCACTCCTTGGCACTGACTGGTGGAGAGGTCCCAGAGGGAGGAGGGATGACAGGGTGGCCAGTCTTGATTGCCAGCTGCCCTTTGTGCTGCTCCACTGGGAGAGAGGCCCTGGAGGAGGGAGCAGCTGCCACCTTGTCTGCTGCCCTGCGTGCCACCCTACCAGCCAGTGCCTTTCCCCGCTGTCTGTGAGGATTTTATTTTTATTAAGGTTTTTAAATGTTCTTGCAGACAATTCTGGATTTCATGGTTTCCATGAAACTGCAAATTAAGTAGGTCCCTAACTATCAAGAATGAAAGGCAGCAAATTTAAAAGAATGGAACTAATTGCATGTTTTGTAAGCTAAATCAGTGGTGATGCGTAGGGGGTGCATGGGGGTGCACATGCACCCCCAGAGAGCACAAGTGTACACCCTGTCAGACTGCACTCCCTATTTTGCTGGTGGGCAGGGGGACAGGTGGGAGCATCAGGGCCCCCCTGCAAGCACTGGCTGGGGAGCGGGGCCACCAGCAAAAGCAGCCACGCTGCTTCCAGAAGTGGCTGAGGGACTTTTGGAAGTGGTGCAGCTGCTTTTTGGTGAGTGAGATCAGCCATCCCCCGGTCAGCACGATTGGCCGCCGGGGGACCTCCCCCCAGTCAGTGGGATCAGCCGCCAGGGGATCCCCCCAATTGCTGACTGGTGTCAGGGGAGACACATGACCCCCCTGACTCAAGAGGCACCAGTCACCCATGAGCTAAATGTATTTAAGTATGTATGAATATACATACACAGCAAAACACTGAAGACTTGATTCTGCAAACCTTTACATTTAGGCATAACTACTCATGAGTATTTTTACTGACCTAAACTGGGATTACTTAAAGCTGAATTTGAACATCAGTGGGTGCATCTACATCTGCGTTTTACTGTGAAGTAGACTAATTAGTTGCACAGTAAAGCATCATTATCTATACATATGCCGACATTAGGGCTCAGTAGACTAATTAACTCCTCCATAAGATAGTACTATCTTCCTAAGGAGTAACTTACTGCAGTGAAACATGTGGATATGCTGACCATGGGCATAAACTGCACCCAGTCAGCACAGCCAGCCCCCTGCTCAATTCTCCACCCCTGCTCAAATTGCTGCTGTCCCAGGCATATGTATAGATGTTGCAACCAGAAGCAGTTTACTCTGGCTCAAACTGCTCTGGAGTTTATTGCTTTGCATTCATTGCACGTGTAGAGGCACCCAGTGTTTGCAAGATCAGAACTAATATTTGTTATTCATAACAAAAATGTATATTTTATTAGTACTTTTTCCATGGCTACAGGGGCAGTATAATAAAAATAAAGTGTCATTTGTATAGCACATCTTTGTAAGATCTCAAAGTGCAAGTTTTACTGTTTTCATGCTACAAATACAGAAACCAAGTACAGAATGGCTGTGCTTGGTGAAGGGTACATAAAAGTCATTGACCATAGAGGATAATTTCTTACTCTCAATCACCAAATCTGATCTCACCAAAAAGATATATTGGTAAGAAGTGGAAATATTAAAATAAGACTGATTTTCCTAAAAAAAAAAGTGTCACTTCTGAAAATTACACAATTAAGGGCAAAAGGCAAATTAATTCTATTTTATGATTCATATTTTATCAGCTAAATACAGTCATTGTAACAATCTTGCCTTCACTTCTGGGAGTTGAAAAATATTAAGTAAACAAACCCCAAAAACTTCCCAAAGAAGCCACATACAAGTGAAATTTATGCCAATGAGCTAGAGTCAAATAATCAACAGCTAGGAATCATGCCATTTTAGCTGCACTATCCTATATATCACTGGAGCACAACCACCCACAGTATTTTTATATCACTTGATCTCTGTGAAAAACTAAAGCTGAAAAAAGGCCCTGACATGATGGGTGAGCTTAAGAACTACAACATCAGGTGAAACATGAAAGTGTATCTGGATAAGCGTGGGGGAATTTTTAGTAGTGATTCCTTTTTAGTTAGTAATGAAACTGCATCTTCATCTTAATTTTTTACAATTTTTATCCAGCTGCATTTTACAGTGAATTTAGGTTTTTCTTCCTGTCTTATAACAATACATTTCTACATGATCACTTCTATGTAATCTTACAATTGATACGCTTCTTGACAGCAAAAAGACCTGTGAAATTTCAATTCTAAATATATGCATACTTAAATTATTTCAGTCATACAACAAGTTATGCTTTATAACTTTATGCTTTATAACTTTATGCTTTATAACTCACTGCTTCATTGACAACGTATAGGGGGTGCACAGGGGTGCACATGCACCCCGAGTGGTGGTGAGCCCCCTGAGAGAAGCGCTACCAACACTGCCAGCGGCGCCTGCAGGTGGTTGCTGCTCACCACCTCCCCCCCCGCCACCACTGCCACCACCACCTGCAGGCTGTCGTTGTGCCCCCTCAGCCTCCAGGAGCACGCGTCATTCATGCAGTACTTTTCTATTTATGGTATCTAGTAGGTCTTGTTAACTTATATTTTAGCTCTGTCTTTTCCCTGCATGTTTTTTTGAAATTGTTGATTAAATGGCTTTTTAAATAAACTGAGGCCAAAGTGTACAAGATTATTAACACTTATATTTTGTAGCTCAAAGTAGCTTCTTTGGTCACCCATCTACCTCTTTGTATGCCAACAACAAAAACTGGTACCTAAATTGACTACCAATAAAATCTTGAATCTTTCTCCCCCAGTACAATCAGAGTCAAAGAGAGTAAATTCAGATGGCCACCTTTTTTTAAGTAGTGGTGAGCAAATATAGTTGAAAAACTTTTCAGTGTATTTTCATTCAAATTAGTCATTTGAATTTCTAACCGTAGTTTTTTCTGCAAATATTCAAGTACTTTACCACCAGTAGACTAATTATTTGCAAAAAGCAAATTGTAAGCTGATATTCTTGAATATTTGTCAAAAACAAATTACCATTTACACTATTTTAGTTAGCTACATTAACTCAGCAACAGAAAACTGTATCAACACAAAGCAAATATTGATTCCATTATTCACAAGAAATTATGAGTTGGTTTTTTGAGGAAAAAGGTTCCATAAAGAAACATACAATTAAAATTCAGTATTTAATAAGCAGCTTGCAAACAATTCTCAAATAGAAGTAAATCTCCAATAAATATATTACTAATTATTGACCCAGCTTGAGTTGCAGGCATGGGGATGTTAAATTCCAAGGGCTGCAGCCAACTGTAGCTGAGGAATTTTACTAATCAAAACCAAAAGAGCTGACCACTCAATTTGTTGTCACTGGTAAATAATTATGCACACTCCTTTGAATATGATGGCTGAATGCTGTATTTGGCTAGCTGGAATACACAGATGTACTTAATGTACAGTTCAAGATTCTACTGAGTGCAAGAGATACTCCAGGAATTAAGTTGGCCTGATCTGTGTACAGCACATTGCCAGACAGAATGACAAATTTATCTTATAAACCTTAACAGTGATAAAAAGCTAACCACATATAGTAATTCCAGTTCCCTGCTTTATGTTGGCTACTATACAATTTGTAAAATACATCATTTCAAAGACAAAAATGACTCTGTTGAAACAGAATACTGCAAAACTATATAAGGCTATTGTAATACCAAGAAAGCTGTCCAGATTATATACTGTTAAACAGTTAACAAATATTACTCCGGGAAAGGAAGTATTTTGAAATGAAAAGTTGTATTACCACACATTGATTAAAGCAATAATACAAAAACTCGAAATTGAAACTAAAACCATTCAATAATTTTGTTATGTTTTTATTTTTTTTTAAATTAAAGAAAAGGCCTGCCTGCATATTACAAAAATAACACATCTACATGTGTTCTATAAAGCCAGGCCCTAAATCTGCAGCACAGCAGGAAGCACCTACACTTATTGGCCGCATCCACTCATGTAAGCACGTGCACTTGCAGCAGCTCAAATAGAAGTGGTACAAATTTGAGCCAGGGCTTTTTGCCTTGGTGCACTTGCTCAGACACACACTTTGTTATGGAGCAAATTGTGACACTTCAGGCAAAATAACCCTGCCTGGCTCCTCCTGGATCTGGAGCAAGGGGGAGCTAGAGCCTGAGGCCAGCACCTGTGCTGTCCCCAGCAATATAAAAAGCTGCCCTGTCCTGGCCCCAGCAGTATAAAAATCTGCCCTGGCCAGCTACTCAGGATTACTTGACCTCAGGAGCTTTTGGGGCCCAGACAATTGGTATCTGGGAACACTAGACCCTTGTGTCAGCTAGACTGCTGAAACAGCATCCCAAATTCACTTTTTAAAATACCCCGAAATCCACATTCTTCCACAATTAGAACAAAAGAGAGAGAGAAAGGGGGCTTGATCAGATGGACAAAGTTTTATTGCTATATTTACAACGTTAAAGAAATTTGGAAGCCCACCAGTGTCTCTAGCATCATAATTAAATAAATCCTAAATATCTATATGTTTTAATGTTTGCTTTGGGTTTCCCCATCACATAGTGGGTATGTGATGGAGGAATGTGGGGGTTTGAAGGAAGAGGTGGGAAGGGGGGTAAGGGGATGTGGAGGGATGTGAGTCACTTTGTAACTACGTGTGGGGGGATGGTGGGTGTGGGGACTGCTTAGGAAGAGTGGGTCCCCTGCATGAATGGCGCATGCCCCTGGCAGCTGGTGGGGCACAGCGGTGCTGGAGATGGTGTGAGCATGGTGGCAGTGGTATGCGGCGACCACCTGCAGACACTGCTGCCAGTGACAGTAGTGGTCCGTGGCAATTGCTGACTGCCCACAGATGCCAATGGCAGCGGGGGTTGGGGTGGCATGGGGGGGGTAGCAAGTGGTGCACCACCATGCTCAGGGGATGCACATGCACCTGCATGCACCTCCTATGCATCACAAATCGTGCCCTGCACCCCACAGGGCAGAGCGCCCCCCCC